TAACGTCTCCTACCCCAACCCTGCAGGAGACGGGACCTCCATTTATTCGTCCCTATCCGAGAAGACTAGAATATCTAACCATTTCTTGATGTTATAGAAAGGTAGCATATTCTTCTCAATTATTTTAAGACCCTGAGTGTTGGTCCGGCCGGGGCTCGAAACCTCGACCTCCCGCACAACAGTCCAGCGCTCTATCCATTGAGCTAACCGGGAGGCGCTTACTCACTCGATTCGGATTCAGTTATGACCAATAGTACTCAGTCAGTTTAGTCGTTTCACATCCTTAATTGTATAGTATGTTTTCCACGCTAAGTGTGTTTATCATGTTTATTGTGTTTTCCATGTTAAGTAATATTTCAAAAACTCGTGCTTCGTGTTTCATCGAGGTTTCCAAACACGAGAAAACTGATCAAAGCACGAGGCCGTAGGCCGAGTGCTTTAATCGTTTTCGAGTGTTTGGAATACCCGATGAAACACGAAGCACGAGTTCTTGAAATTTGTTGTCACCTACTTGCTGTATGTAAGTAGGTGACAAGGTGATAGGTAGGTGATACTGAATTTCATTTGTATTTGCATTTCACGTTGTTACCTACTAGTTGCATTGTTAGTATCGAGCAAGCACGGTGCTTTCGAAGATGACAGAATGTCGTTTTCGACAACCGAAAACCTTTGAGGACGAGGAAAAGTGTGTCGTTAATGCACTTCCAAAGTCGACGCAATACAAAAACAAATGGGCGGCTCGTATTTTTGAAGAGTGCGCAAAAGCCCGATTTCCGAAAGTAGCAAATTTGGAACCAGGTGGTCTTTTTAAAGAATATGATCTGCACAGAGTTCAATCGCTGGAAATTCCTTTATTCCAAATGGATGCTTTAAGCGTTAATTATTGGCTGACGAAGTTTGTTCAAGAAGTTGCCAAACCGTCAAAGGAAAGATACCCACCAAAAACGTTATATCAGATTGTGTGTGGATTGCGTCGCTTTATGGAGGAGAAGAATGAGAAGATGGATTTTAATCCTGTCGATGCTTGGGATAAAAGGTGCAGATTTGGTGCTGTATGTAGCACTTATTATTTATTCTGAAATTGAAATAGTGTATTTTTATTTAGGGTTATCAATTTGTGTTTTACAAGTTCTCTATCTTACGACGCGTTCTTGATGCAGAAATGAAAGAGGGCACAAGGTTAGGGATTGGATTAGCGAACAAGAAAGAAGAAAAGCTGCCTGTGAATGTAAATGTCTCGATAGAGAACGTTATCTGTAATTATCATTTTTTGTCAATAAAGTTGTTTATCGCCACGTGTTTTTCTTGCTTTATCAATATGCAGATCAAGAAAATTTGCATCCGTGTTTGAAATCGTTTCAAACACGGCCGTGTTTTCAACTCGTTT